TTTTTTTTCTGATGACAAAATTTCCTAGATCATCGGGCGTTACTTTTACCGCCTACTGAACGTTAAATTATTTGTATTACAAAATAACCTCTGCTGTATAACTAATAAAGAATATTCCTTACGTTATATATATATATATATTAAATTTATACAAAGAGGAGCGCGCCAAAAAATACACAGATATGCCACTTAACATTTTTCTTTATAAATATATACAGTATAGGCTAGTTTCTGCAAAAAGAAGATAAATTTTTTAAAAAGATTTATGGCAAATGGTGCCACCCTTAATTAAAAAAAAAAAAACTTTTTTAAAATATATTTTTTATTTAAGAAACAAAGTCGTATTAATAAAATCTTGTATTTTTTTAACAATAATTAATTATATATAAAATTTATAATTTATTTTTTGAAATCTTTTTGCAGTAATCAGTCCATATTATCAAAAATAATTTTGACAATATCTTAATAACTACATATCTGAACTCGATTATTAAATATGTGCAGTAGTTATTGAGATACAAAAAAAAAATTTAGACAATTATCAAAACAGACTGCGACCAGGTTTTTTTTTTCAAATTTTACATCTCGATATTACCTAAAATCGATGAAAATTTTTTAATTTTATGAATCCAATGAATCCATAAAATTAAAGTAAAAAAATTTTCATCTATTTTAGATAGGTAGTTATCAAGATGTCATCGCTTTATACGATTATCAAAAAGATTGTTGTCAAGTTCCATATCCACATAGAGGTTCGGTCTATTATAATCTTTAGAGTTTCGATCCGTTTTTCGATTCGGATACGAGATCCTTAAGATCTAGCCCGTACGAAAAAGAAGTAAACATATGTAAATTTACAACCCTAGGCCAACACTGGATTTTTACATAATTATGTGCTGCATGACAAAAAAGAAACGGCTCACAATTTCAAAATAAAAAATAAATATACTTTTATAAGGTTTATACCTCAAGGTAAATTAAAAACATATACATCTACTAATAAATAAACAATGACAGCACGGAATATAAGCGCCAAAATAATACTCGGTTCATTAGCAACCAGTTATGAACAAAACTAATGTCATCGTCTCTGCTAATCATTCGGGGTCATCACAAAAATATACAGATATTGGAAACCATTCTTTACATTTGACCCTAAATTCTTCAGCTTTCAGAGAATTAAAAGTGGATTTGAGAGTTTCATACGCCATGATGCAATTCTAGTGATAGAAATTTTAAAACATGAGATGGTCAACTAAAATAAAAAACATAAGAATGGTCAGACTTACGAACCTCTAATGTCCTTGTACTAGCGTATTCTTCGGAATCGACCATTAACAAAAGATTTTCAGCCTCTTGCCTCTTTTCTGGATCTATAGCATATAAGGTTTTTGCTCCAACTAATAAATGTGGTATACCTTTGTTTCTTTCTAAAAATCGTTCGTTAAATTCGACCAAAGGCATATTTTCCGGTATTAAAGTTACTTTTTCTGAGGCAATAACTTGATTTACTGTTGGATTAATTTCTTTATCATCAGACACTAAATAGAAATTATTAGTTAAGAGGAGTGGATTTAAAAATAACCAGACTCAAAGTTGCAAATAATTATGATTATTACCCGCTAAATGGAATCGTATTATATCGTTATGCAATGCAGCATTTTCTTTATCTATATTGTAAGCACGTAAAAGAGCTCTAAGAGCAAGAAGATACTTCTCTAGACAAACACGAAATACAAACAAGTTATGATATGTATCGTTAATTGAACAAAATCTATAGCACAATCATAAAATAATACTTTTTCGTAGATAGATCTCGAATCCCAGTAAATGCGTTTCTATCCTTTTTGGAGATAGTTCTTGCAATGGAAGTAAGAATTTAAACGCTTCACCCAAAGGATCTTCAGTCTATAAATAAATTTTATTAATTAATAAAACAATTATAAAAACGGTAATATTAATTAATCTCAGTTTAATAAGAAAAATTTTGTAATAATAATATCCTGATCAGTTGGGAATTAGCGGAAACTTCGTTTCCGCTTATTCACATACGGTCAAGGTATTATTAATTAATCCTCCCGTGATCCTGATATAGTGATCGGAGGGTTATTAAAATTCCTTGCGTCGAGAACGAGCTGTATTAAGACCTCACACTTGACACATTATTTAATTTGAAATAAATGACAAACCTTAAGAAGCTTTTCACCATCCGGATCATCATCCTGAGGTTTATCAACTTTCTTTTTTACATCTTCCTTCGCTTTTTCCAATAAAAAATGTGATTAATTACCGCATACAAACAATACAATCCATTTTTTTTTTGGTAAACCTTTTCTTTCTTCATCTTCTTTTTGTTTTTTATGAGCTGCTTTGTTAGCCTTGCTTCTTAGCTTCTTCTTCTCACCCTCAGTCATATTTGCTAATGATCGAATGTGGTTACCGAGCCTGACTGTAATACATATCTATATAGCTGTAGACGATGAACTTACCATAGTCTTCATTTTCTTCACTAACAGTTACCGTATTTGGATTGTCGTATAATTCGATATAGATCTAGATAATTTTATGCGTAATCGTAAATAGAAAACAAGATATTAATGATCACTAATATCATATTTTATTACCTTTATGGCACTTTGTGCTGCACGAAAATAATATGGATGAGAACGTAATTGATCCTCCAGCCGTAGCATGCTATTGCGAAAATTTAAAGCATAAATCATTAAATATTTTGCTTAAACTTTTGATTGACAGAGTGCTTATCTGTTGATATATGCCTCAAGTATGCCCGAAGAGTGACTTTACGTAAGCAATAAGTATGAAAATCGAATTGATCGTCCGTTATATCGGCAAAATGCTGTATTGTTAAGGGTTTAAAATGAATAACGTTGAATTACAAGCGACTTCTTAAATATCGAGAAAATTGAACCATACCTTTTCAATTTGGTGAAAACGTTTTAGGGCTTTTCCCCATTTTTTTTGCCTTATATAGCTTTCACCTTCTTCAAGGACAAACCACATACATTGCATATCCGCAAGATCTGTTAATGGATCGGGAGCATCACCCTTTAAAAATGCGTACGTAAGACAATTTTCTGGAAATGAAACACCATGTGTGAAATACCACCAGTCATACAAACCCTAGTAAATAATCCGATTTTTTGCTCAGCTTCCTCAGCTTGATCATTTCTGAGCATATATTTTGAACATTTCGAATTAATGAATCTGTCCTGTAGGTCTAATTCACGGGCTTCGTTCATCACTTTCATAGCTTCGTTAAGGTCTCCACCATGCTATCATATCCAACATTTAAGTGTTTGGTAAGACTCGTTTTTCATTTTCATTTTTATTTTTTTTTTATACATGGTACCTAACAAAGCTGTCAAAAATTCGGACCTTTAGAATACGGCCCTTTGTCATATATAATTCGACCAAGGTAGGAGTATGTTCGATTGCTTCGTCAATCAACATGAGGGCCTTCGTTGTGTCACGTTTATTGTCGTAATGCTGGGAAAGCAAGTAAAGAGTCCATAGATAAGCAGTAGGTGGTTCCTTCACATAATCATCATTTTTAGGTTGAGTGAAGGTACTATTATTCTTTAGGCATTCGCGGTATCCTTCAACCAATTGCTCGATAACGACTTCTTTTTGAGGATCACTATAGAGCTTTTTGAGATTGACAAATAAGGACGGAACTCCTTTACGGAGTGCAGCTTGTATATATTCATCCACAAACATCTTAAAATTATCGCCTAGATAGAATATTCAATAATGTTAGAAATAAATTTCGAGTAAATAGGTTAATATTAAGTAGAATTTACTAACAAACCGACCAGTAGTATATAATAAAGGAAATAGTTTTATCGCGTTCGACTTTGGATATTTTTGGGATAGATCTTTATACAAATCGATGATTTTTTCTTCACACTCAGGTGTCAAGTCGTCTATAGAATTATCCTCAACATTTAAATAATTATTTCTTTTTATTGTTCATTTATTTTATTTTATTTTTTTTGCATTGATCATCTTATTTTGTGGATGAATCAAATGACACACATACTAGTATTAATCCCTTTAGCTATTTGTAATCCTTCATAATAACCGTAACAATCAGGATTGTCATTAATTAATTCTTCGTACGCCGCTTCTGCTTCTTGAAGTCTGTTAAGTTTCAATAAAAACTGGGCTTAAATCAAGATATATTATTAATGAGCTCGAGAATTAAAGAAAAAAGTCTTAGTTTATTCTGGTATTGGCCAATAGCGCAAACCTCTTTTTTCTTTCCAAGTTCGACGATCACAAACGTTGTTTTTAATAGAATCTAAATGTTCTAAAGCCTCTTCAGTTTTACCACTTTCATCTATAATAAGATTGTGGTATAGCAGCATTTCACTATGCTCGTAATTTGTTTGACCAGGTTTAAGAGTTCCTTCATAAATTTTCAGAACTCTTTCAGCGGTTTCGTAATTTTCCAATAGATGATAAGATATTGCAAGTCCTAACCAATATCTTTGATTATTTGGCCTTAACTGTAAAAGATGGTGGCGTGATTCCTTGATGTTTAGAAACGTAAGATTATAAAATTTATTACAAGAATTTATAATGGTGAGTGATTACTAATTTGTTTTCCCCTTATTTCTCACATTAAAAGCTTCATAATTTCGCATTTGGATTTGGAGTAGAGAATAATCTTGAAGGATTTGCATGTTATCCTATCAAATAATCATAATTCAGTGTTTAGATTATCGTTATAATAAAATTTAAATAGGTTTATAACTAATACCTTATCGATTTTTAAAGCTTGGGTATAACATTTCAACGCTTCACCATAATTCTTATCGGATCGATGTAGCAATCCATATACATGCCAGCCTAATTAATCAAGTTATATTTGTATTTTTTATAAAATTATACAAATGATCCCAATGAAGAGAAGATAATTACAAATATGACTTTTCAGATCAGATCGAAGGCCCTTTCGTACGAATTCTCGAGCATCTTCTTTTTTATCCATATGGTTAAGAAATAAGCCTTTCATAGCTAACGTCTCTAAATTAAGTAATGTAATTTTTTTTTTTAGGGCTCATAATACCAACCAATATCTAAATAATGATAACTAGAAGAATAATCCAAAGAAACTATAAAATCAAAAGTATGTACCCCCATGTTCTGGATACTTTTTCAGTATCTGTTCGGTGGCTTTCAAGCCTTTCTTATATTGCTTGAATTCATAGTATTTCTAGTCACAAAAATTTCAGTTCAATGCTTGAAATTATTCAGTATTTTAGCTCATTTGTGAAAGATACTTGCAAGAATTTGTTTGAAAAGAGCGGATTCCTTCGACGGTAATTCCCTCATATCAAATATGATTTATTGTGTCGTGTTCGAAGAACGTATACACGTCACTTAAAAAATCACCCGATAATATTTTTTTTTTTTTTTTTTTTTTAGATCATTTGAACTTACGATAACAGCGCATTTAGCCGGTCAGGGATCTTTCTAGATTATCAATATCATTTACTGGCCGAATTTAACCCCTTAAAGTGGGCCGTGTAGTATAATTCAGGTGAAGTTTACGGAGGACACGCACAATGATATTTTTTCAGAGCTTTGTTCAATCTATTTTTTTTAGGTTCTGTATACAAGAACTTTATTTTATAAATTGGATAGTACCCGTGGGTACAGGATACTATATTTGGGGAAGATATCATATAAAAAGTAATAAACTAACTAATGTAGCTCTCCGAGTGTTATTCAAGAATTGAGCCAGGCATGGGTCTTAATCGGGGTATTATTTTGGGGGACACAATACAATGGCCAGCGGTAGTAAATTTTTTTTAACATCTAAAGTGACAAATACCAAGTTTACATCACCTAAATTTTTACTTTTTATAAAATTTGCGAATCTACCATTAAATAAAATAGAATAACTTTTTTTTTTTTAAAAAAAAAAAAAAAAAAAACTATTGTTTAAAGGTTGTTTTTTTATAATTCCTTGATTTTAAATCTTCAGTTGCCTTGGATTTTTGTATTCCCAAGATTTTAGAATTACCTATTTAAAAGAAAACCAGTAAATAAATGAAGTTGTTATTTGGGGTCTTTGCCTTGAAAATCACGTTATGGGACATGTCCCATAACGTGATTTTCAAGGCAAAGATCCCATTTGTATAAATACAAGTTACTGTTTATTACTTACACAACGAACCATCTAACAATCTATCAGCTAAATCACGTACAATACCACTTGTTAAATATTTAGTAGATACACCACGTGGAACTAATGTTTGAGATAATAATTCTTTCAGTTGAAGTTTTAATGTTTGAATTTTATGTTTAACAGCATCATTGTTCTGTCTCCCTTTATTAATCTCTTTTTTATTGAAAAGAAGATCATCATCCAAATCCACCTCTAGATCTTCTGCGACTTTCTTAAACCATTCATCATCATGGTTACCCTGAAATAAATGTATATAAGCATCGAAAAGCCAGGATATTAATCAAAAAGAAAAGAATGCATACCTTTTGCAATTTGTGTTCTTCTTGATCGATTTGTCTTGCCAAATCAATACGTTGCTTCATGGAATTGATTATTCCACCATCGATTGGAAAATTAGCTATCCCATTGACTTTTAAAAATAAAATGAGGAAGAAAATCAAGTACATAAGGCAAATGATGTATCATATAGGTGCAACTAACCCTTCTTCAACTCTTGGCAAATTTTTCGGTACAAAATTGACTCTTCTGGACTACATAACATCAAACTAATACCTTCATTACGCGCACGAGCTGTACGACCACTTCGATGGACATATATCTACAATAAGCGATTAAAAATAATTAATCATAATGAACTATTATGAACAGACCAATAATCATACGCACATCTCCAGAACGTGGCAACTGATAATGCATCACATGATCAACGAGTGGAATATCCAGTCCTCGAGCCGCCACGTCACTAGCAACCATCACCGCGTTTGAATTTTGCTTGAATCTGGTAATTATTGTTTTTAGTCGGAATTAATAAATCTTATGGTGACTTGAATTACTCAAATTATAAAATTATAAGTAGATTTATCTCACCGATCCAAATTTTTTAACCTTTGTCTTTGCTGCATCTGAGCATGAAGGGCAAAAACTTCTATATTAAGTAATCTCATCATCGGGATCAATCGACGAATCGCATCAATACTATTCACAAACACAAGAGTTCTGCCGGGATATCGTGTGATGAAATAATACATATATAAATCCTAAATAATCACAAGTACTTTAATATAGCTGTGATGTCTATGGTGACTCGCTAAGAATTCGAAAACTATAACCTTCTCTTTAGCTAAACAATCAATTTTAGATTCTTGCAGAGTTTCCACGACAGAACCTTTTGGAGTAATATCTACATATAATGGGTTAGAATCTCTAAACTCTATCCTACTCATCAGTTCAGCTGTTTTGGAATGTAAGAATGCAGAAAGTTGAGTTTAGAAATAGTGGTGACGCAAAAAGTAAAAATTAATTACCAGTTGTTCCTTGTGAATTCAAAATCCAATCAAGTGGTTTTTTTCGTTTTGGATTACTTTTAAAACTGTTATCTAAAGTAGCTGAGAATATAAATGTTTGCCTTGCGAGAAGATCTAAGTTACAAGCGAACATTAGTGAAATTGAAGCATAACAGAATTATTTACAAAACTAATGGTTAATTAATTCACCTCTTTTGGTATCTAGTATTATTTTGTTATCAACATTCTGTTCTCTATTAATTGTAAAGGTTATTTATAAGATAAGAAAACAAAATTACGAATCATAAAGGAATCGACTCACTGTTTACTCCTTGACAATATTGAAAGTATATAATTCAGTTCTTTGAAATGTCCAGCCTCTAACATCCTATCTGCTTCATCAAGGACCAAAAATCGGATATGACGAAGTGCATTTATATATTCATCATTCTATTCGAGTCGTAATTTGTCATGAATATTCAAATGATAACGCTTGTAGAGTAATATTTTTTGTTACCTCGGAAAGAAGTTCCCATAATCGTCCCGGAGTACCAACAATTATGTTAGGATTCTTTTCAAGTAATCGCTTTTGTTTTTGAATCGCCATACCTCCAACAATTGTCATTATCTAGGCATGTGATTCAATGAGAACGGTAAATAATGTAATTAATAGCACAATTTTTAAAGCTCACAAAGAAGGAATGCCCTACATTATTTGTAGCGAACTTTCCAACATTTTGAAGATGAACTCTAATTTGCATAGCCAATTCTCTTGTTGGTGTCAGGATAAGAGCGACCAATTGGTTTTCAGAATCCTTTTTTTTTCGCTTGATTATGTACTCCAATATTGGAATTCCAAAAGCAAGTGTTTTTCCCGATCCTGTTTCTGCTTTGCCAATGACATCTCGTCCGTTCAGACTTGCATGAAGAGTCTTTTCTTGAATTGGTGTTGGCCTTTCAAATTTGAGAGCTTTTAATCCGTTCATTATAGTTAAAGAAAGGTTAAACTCTCTCCAGGCAGAGACATCAATATCTATAATAGCAACACCATATGGTCAAATTCATGGGAGAAAAAAAAAAAAAAAAAAGAAAGAAAAGATAGTTTACTTTCATTTCCAAGTTGAAGATTCGAACCATCTTCATCTTGCTTTGACACCAAATTTTCATCTGAATGAGAAACAGGCGCCACGTCATAGTATGATTGTTGACCCTTTAAAAAGGATTGTTCATTGAATGTGTCCAAATCATGATACTTTGATAATTCTTCTATTGATAATGGCTCGTGAGGTTTTGCAGGTGGATTTTTTTTTTTTGTGTTCGGTTTATTAGATGCAACTTTCTTTATAAATAGTTAATGTTATGAGCATCACTTAGAACAGTAAAAAACGTTATTCCAAGCAAGAGAACAACATTCGTAATATCCAACCTTAAATCTAATCGTGCTCCCTTTAGTAGCGGTTTCCTCATATTCAACGTCAACATTATCGATTTCTTCCAAACATAGAAAACCACCCAAATCCTCATCACCACCTAAAAAAACAGATTCTGGACATACGACCTCAGACCAATCAAGGTCATTTACGTCTATAAAATCCTCCTTTTTATGCTTTTTGTTCTTATTCCCTTTATTCGCTTTTGGTAGCTTACGTTTTTTACGTCTTGTTTGCGTTTCTATAGAGTTGTTAGGTGAAAATTTTTTTAATTCTGTAAAAATATATTGACTTTTAGACATGCCGAAATTCTATTTTTTTTTATTATCAGATGCGATGAAACTCGATTATTTTTATCTATGCATCCCCCAGCCAATAACGTGTAATGGTAAAATTAAAAATTATCTCGAAACTTTTTTCTTTAGCGTTAGCAGTCACGTTATTACTTTATTAAAATATTGGTATATACAACAAAATCGTGAAACTATTTGCTACGTATATTGTCCTCTTGGCCATTTTAAAGACATTTTTTTAAATTTTAATTAGGAACCACCTTCTGCAGCCTAATTAAAAACGTAATAAGCGTTATACATAGCGACTAGGGATAGGAATCGGCTATATGATTTAGTCGACTAAGGGTGTTCTCAAGCATCTCAATCAATCAATTAAATAATGATCATGATAACGCTCAAGCATCTCAGTCAA